TTGTGAAACCTATGGTAATAGTATGGCTGGTCAGGATGAGGATAAAGATGCTAAACCCTGCCTGTTGGGTAGTGGTCAGAATGAGGCAAAATGTGAACCCAAAAATAAGAAAAAGGCTAATCTGAAGCATCCAGAGGGTAAAGATTCTGCCAGCCTGCCGAGTTTAGATCAAATCACCACAACTGCTAAAAAAGAAAAGAAAAGGGGACGAGCAAATTTGGGAAAATTGAAGACTAAATCCCTTTCTGGGCTATCAGATGTGAATATAAGCATTTCCGCTGATAACTTTTTGGGGCAAGATTCCTTGGATATAAGTCCTCTCATGCCTTGTGGTAAACCTAAGCAAAAGAAAAGCAAGATGGAGGAACGAGCAAGTCCAGTGTGTCTGCAGACTAAACAAACCACTGGCATACCAGATTTGAATGGGAACAATCTTGTACCTAGCCTTCTCGTTGATGATCAACAGGCTATTGGCCATGCTGCTTCTGAAGGTAAAGTTGAGTTAGAAAAGGGGTTAGGGAATGAAACTGCTTCGGAGCCTTCAAAGCCTAATATCATTGCTGGCTTTGTAGATACGAATGGAAACAATGTGAAACCTGGTACATTGGTTGTAGATTTGCGGATATCTCCCCAAGCTTTGTCATGTCTAGACTCTAAACAGGTCACCGGCCTGCTCTCAGCTGAAAGTAGGCCTGTACAGAAAAAGAGAAAGAGAAAGGAGAAAGCAGAAGCAAAGCATCCAGCTGATGGTATTCCAGATTTGAATGGAAATAGTGCTGAATGCAACTCATTCGGAAAGGAATTCCAGGAGTCCAATGGCCTTGCACCTCCAATTAAACCTGAGAGGAAGAAGAGGAGGAGAAAAGGAGAAGCTACTACTATACAGAGGAAACTGGATATGAATCATGGTAAAGCACAGATTACTGAAAAGGCTCTAGGGACTGCTCTTCTGTTGACCTTTTCCCCAGGAGTACCAATGCCTTCAAAAGATGATTTAATTTCAACATTTTGTCGGTTCGGGCCCTTGAAGGAATCAGAGACACAGTTGTTAAAAGATCCTGGTTCTGCCCAGGTCGTATTCATGGAAAATGCTGATGCTGGAGAAGCATTTCGGAGTTTAGAGAAGAACAACCCTTTTGGTGCAAACCTCGATAGTTACAAGCTGTTTCATCTTCCATCTGTGTCCAGGGTTTTAGAAACAGGCTGGTCTCTACCTACAAGTCTTTCCTCTCCAACTATGCCTGGAAAGGCACCTCGCCTTGACTTCATAAGGCAGAATCTTCAGATGATGACATCAATGCTAGAGACGTCGGGGGATAATCTTTCTCCAGAGATGAGAGCCAACCTAGAGTGTGAAATTAAATCCCTCCTGCAGAAGGTGAGCTCCATGACTGGTTCTTCCTCTTCTTAGTTTGGACTGCAGGTTATGTAGTTTTTATATGGGTTGTCTGTAAATGTAGCGACTGGCTCCTTGGGCATGCTCTGTAGGTGGTGTTATGTTAGAATTGGAACCTCTGTAATTTATTGCATGAGAGGGCATAGGCAAATGACCTATTGCATTGGAACTTTTGTATCTCTAGCAACTCCGTTTTTCTTTATTTACGTACTCTCTCTCTCTCTCTCTCACACACGCGAACGCACACACACACACAAAATTCGTTATATCTGGATGCTTTATGGTATAAGTTTACTGAGACGGATTTGAGTCTAAAATGACACCCCAATTGTTGGTTGCTTTACTCACGCACAAAAGATCTTCGTTTGTAACTGCATGTTTGATTGTGTTTAAGGTTCTAGGTTATTTCACCCCAAAAAAAAAAGGCTCTAGTTGATGTTTAAGCTACAAAACAATAAAGGAACGACCCAAAAAAAAAAAACAATAAAGGAAAGAATGATGCGTTTTCACGTAGAATGCCTTCCCACACCGGACATGAAAGTAGCCTTTCAAAGACCAATTGCTATGCAAGAAAAGTCTCCATCGCAGTCACTGTTGCCGCATGGCCAGTCATTCTCAATGCCTCTTATTGATAGTTGGCGACTCATTTTCATACGACTTTCGACTCTATTAACAAGAGAGGATCAGCAATCAAACATCCTGCACTGAATTGGGATGTTCCAATCCATATACAGGTCATGCAAGTCTTTCGGTGTTTTGAGCTTATTTCGAATGCCTCTAAAGTCGCCAGTGAAATTGATTTTTAAGTGACAATTCAAAACTTGACGCCTCAACGGGAAATTTTTAGTTCAAAACAAGTCTTGCAGAAGAGATCAAACAGAATTATTTCTTCGTATCTATTCTGAAAATTGCTAAATTCTAATGCTAAAGGTTATCCATCAAAAATACAAAATCCATATTTTGGAAATTGCAAAGAACTTCCAAGATCATGAAAACCAGTTTGAACAGAAAACAACAATGCAAATCAATTCAGCAACGCAACACAACGAACAATGTGAAACAACTCCAGAATGCTACTACTCCATAACAGCAACTCCTCCAGCAGCCTTTATTTTCTCAATTATGTCATTTGCTTCCTCTTTGGTAACCCCTTGTTTAAGGACACAGGGTACCTTTTCAACGAGATCTTTAGCCTCCTTTAATCCCAGACTGGTAAAGGTCCTGACTTCCTTGATTACCTTGATCTTTGCAGCTGTATCGAACTTCTCCAATTTCACATCAAACGCTGTTTTTTCCACCTTCTTCTCCTCAGCCTTTGACGCACCAGCTGGCCCTCCCTGTGAACCCAAGTCCAAGCCTTCTGTTGATATGGGCTGCAACTTGGGAAGCCTTAGCCTCTCACCAAGAGTAGGACCAAGTTGGCAGCGTTCTTCAGGGGCCAGTGCTGCAATTCGCTCGGCGAGCTGAATGATTTTATCTGAGGGTGCAGGTCTAGGGCCATATGGATCATAGAATGCCGGATATTTGTATTTTTTCGGCTTGGCATCGGGATCCCTTGGAGCAAAATCAGGTTGGAAGCAGCGAAACTGCAAAGGACCAGTTGTTTCAGGGAGAGTGGGGCGGGCACGAAAAGATCTGGCAAGTGCAATAAGCCTCATGGTTCTTTTCGGTCAGTGGAAAAAGTGCCTCATACAACTTAAGATAGCAGAATAAAAGAGAGCTTCCTGTTTTGAACTGAATGGACAACTTTTGAGAACTCTCTTGCCTGGGATAAAAAAAAGAAGAAACTTCAATTAGCAAATGGAAGAACATAACTAATGTTTCATCATATATTTTACGAATGCAACATCTGCAGACTGGTCAAGTCTATAACTTTAGAGTAATTCTATATGTGAACTTACAGATGTAACAGCAAAACAATAAGAAAAAAGTAAATTTGATAGAGAATTCAAATGGGCATTTCCACAAACATGTGGTGTGAGAAACAGGATGCAATAACAATGACTCAAAGAAAACAAATAAATTCCCCAGAAAAGAAAACTCAACTATCAAATTTTCCAAACTAACCCAATATTAAACTATCCCATTAGCTGAGAAATCTCACTGTACGCGCTTCTGACACTGAACTGACCCCTCTTGACTACAAACTCCTACGGTGGTTCTGGGTTTCTCATAAAACTCAAAAACCCGTTGAAGAAACTCCAAAGCATCTCAAGATTAAATAATATAAAACAGGTAAACTCCAAAGCATGTAAAAGATTTAACAAAAACCCATAAGGAAGAAACTCACCGTAGCTTTATAAATGCGAGCAAAAACAACCGCCAACTGCAAGAGAGCGAAATAAGACAAAGTGAGCAAAAGCGTAGGAGATGACTATGGAAATTGTTCGGGTCGGGTTACAATTTGGCCCAAATGAAAATGATCTCTTTTACAGAAAATGGAATTGTCCATTTCGCCCAAAGTTCCTGGGCTAATAGACACAATGGTTTACCCCAATTGAGCAGCCCTAACTTTTCAGACCAAAAAAATAAAAAAAATAAAAAACTTTTGAAGACTTAATGATCCTAATCAGCGTGCAACATGTCATATGATCGAAAGCTTCTATAAGAGCATTTTCAATGGAGATGTCAAATATCAAACATCAAATTTAAATTTGATGGCTGATGTGGCAATTTGACATCTTACACAACGAAAAACGAAAAACTAAGAGGACCGTCTCCTCCAACTGGAACTCAGTATTCATTCTGTTGAAAATTTGGATCTGCCCGTTGGGTCCCACTTTAACAACACCGATATTGTCCCCACTTTACCACCCGCCCAATCCGTCAGGTGTGGGGTTTTTATCACAAAAGGCCTCGGTATTAGTTAGAGTGTGGTAATTCTATTTAAACCCCTTTGTTTTCTTTCACTCCACCGATGTGGGATTCCAACACTCCCCCTCACGTGTAATCACACGTGAAGATCCACACATCGGCAATTGAAACTCAGAGGTCGGCTCTCGTTGGGCCCACTTGTTTTCAATGGAACTCAGAGGTCGGCTCTTAGCTTCGTTGGCATTTTTCAGAGTCCGACTTGTTTCCCTTTTTTTTTTTTTTTTTTTTTTTTTTTTTTTTTTTTTTTTTTTTTTTTTTTTTTTTTTTTTTTTTTTTTTTTTTTTTTTTTTTTTTTTTTTTTTTTTTTTTTTTTTTTTTTTTTTTTTTTTTTTTTTTTTTTTTTTTTTTTTTTTTTTTTTTTTTTTTTTTTTTTTTTTTTTTTTTTTTTTTTTTTTTTTTTTGGGGGGGTTACAAGCATCGTTAGCTTGTACGGGCCTTGGCTCTAATACCATGTTGAAAATTTGGATCTGCCCGTTGGGTCCCACATCAGCTTTGACATATCGATTGGAGTGATATGAGATGTTATTTATAGCTGTTAAATGTCTATGTGGCACGTTTGACACATCGGTTGGAGATGCTCTAACGAGGGTTTATCTTGAGGGGTTCAATCTAACCATCTAATAGTAATTATGCATTGGATCAGACGGGCTATTAAGGACCCTCTTATTCGCCTCCTTGCATATTATCTTGTTATATTATTTTTTAAAATTTTGTTGATGCTAAGTACGGAAGGAGTACATCAATTAGCACTTTAGTCTAGTGGTGTTTCTTTTTCTGATGTTAAAGAGGTTTTGAGTTCGAAATTCCATCCCCAGCAATCAAAAGAAGTTAGCTACCCCAATCACATATGATGAAATGGTCCAAATTTTAGTATATTAGTAACTTTCATGAAAATACGTAATGTATTAGTGTTGTGAGGGTTTCACATAACAAAACTTACAAGTGTGCCATGACTGGAAGGTCTTTTGTTTGTTCACTTATCCGATCTGAGTATAATTTATGGGATAGAAAACAACATACGTTTGTTCAGTCTAAAAAAGCTTATCCAAATAAATTAATTTAAAGTTCTTTCCTTTCATTTGAAATTCGTACCTTTTCCCATCTCGGAGAAGAGGGATGGGAAGGGGAGACTTTTTGATCTTCTCCTTCCATTTCAATTTTCTCGTACCAACAACCAGGGCAGGGCCTAGGGGTTACAATGGAGGAGCACATGGCATGAAAATAAAAAATTTATACTAGTTTTGCTTTCACTGAAAACTCTGCTTTGCTCTCCTTTTATGTCTCAAGCATTCCCAACCACGCAGACAGAGTTTAAAACACTTTATCAACTTATGATAATAACTTTTGACCTCAAAAAGAAAACTTGTGATAATAACTTAATCACACTCTCCCTCGACGACCATGCAGACAAACATCACATAAAGATGTAAGACTTAAGCAAGTACTAAATAACACATTAGTCTTTTGGACTAAAAAAAACACTGCTAGTATATCTTCCTCGGTTTTACAACAAAATCCTGCACCTTTGAATTTGTCTTGCACTTGCAGCCAACGAGAGTACAACAAATTAGAAGAAAGACCAAAAAGAAAGGCAGTACTCATTTTTGGACTCTCCGTCTTCCCATTCACACACACACTCTCGTTGTCCTTGTTAGGTCAATAAAGATGAAAGCAAGACCACCTTCATACATACCCAAAAAATTTAAATAAAAAACACAAAGAAATTAAAACCCTTTTGGTCTCAAAAGGCATACATGCATATACTTAGAGAACTAGTAGTGGTAGTAGTTTGAATCCTACTCTAAGACGCAGATGATGATTAATTAATTAATTAAAGTCACTAATCACACCTAATTAGATTTTAGACTAATGGGTTTGTGGTGGAGGGGCCATAATTGTTCATGACATTGGTCCATGATCCTAGACCATTCAGGTACCCAAATGACTCCTTTCCATGGTCAGAGCAGCCCTGGTCTTGCCACTCAAGGGACAAGAGCTTAGTGTTTGGCTTCACATCCATTCCATTTTGGTGATGATCCTGATCATGACTTGCTTGATGGTCATATGGTAACATCAACCTCTGGCAAGTGTCCATGAAATTACCGTTCTGCCCATCAAATGATGACATCCCAAATGGAGAGCAAAGGCCATGATGAAAACTTGACTCACCACCCATATTATTTGCAAGCCCACCCATCATTCCCAAATCAGCACCATTCCCCATAAAGTCATAATTCCTAGCATTCCCAACTATGGCTTCCAATTTGCTCTCCATGAAATCAATTGGCCTTGGGTTGTTGTTATTACTCTCAAGCATCCCATTGTACCTGCTGTCCATGAAACTAGGGTTATTATTACTCCCAAGCATCAAGCCATTGAGGTGTGAAAATTGCATCTGATCAGGAAATGAAAGGTGGAGATCAGTTGGGTTGTGAGAAACTGATGAGGATGATGAGCCAGCATTCTGGTTCATCATTGGATTATGAGGCTCATTGGGTTTCTTGGAAGCAACTTTCTTATTCTTTCTGCAGCCACCACCCACAGGAATGTTCCTGAGGGTGCCTCCTTTGGTCCAGTACCTTCTGCAGGTCTTGCAAAAGTACCTAGGCTGAGAGAGGCTGTAGTTGTTGTAATAGCAGAACTTGGTGTGGGTAGAGTCACATCTAGGGCACTTGAGGGCTTGGTCATGCTGGGGCCTCAGCCTTCTCTCTATCAAGGGCCGTGAGCAGGTTAACATGTCCCCAGATAATGGTGAGGAAGAGTCCATGGGAGAGTCCTCGTTCATCGTTCCCTGACAGGGAAAGGAATTAGGAGAGATTTTGTCAGAACTATATATGTTTGTACCCCACAACAATATAATTTTACAGGACGACACATTCTTTGTCCTTTCACACCATCTCAATCAATCAAATGTAAAGGCATTTTGGATTGTCCCCAATTTATAAATTTTGGTGCCACAAAAATCCCGGGATTTGTTCCATTATCTTCCACATATATATTCAGTCAAATTAGTCTAGTTTTTCAACAAAATTGAGAAAATAAAAAATGGGAACTTTTTGAAGTGCTCTATTATTATCATCAAAATGAATTTGATCAAATTTCTCATGGGCAAGTTTTGTTTATGAATGTGGTTCTCTCTCATCCATCAACAATGGCATTTTCTATGGCATTAACTAGAGCATTATCTAAGATAACCCTAGGAAAAATGTGTATTAATTATGCTCAATTATATCTTCTTATTGCATTTAGGGTACGAACACCTAGAATAAAAGCAGTATAAATTAAACCACAAGAAATGGAGTGTTATATATGTATATAAATATTAAGCAGAACGTACCTGTAACCAGTCGGATGAATCCATGCAAACTTGCAGAGAGTTATGGCCCATCAAACAAATTCAACTATAGCTCTTCACTAAAACCCAGATCAATGAAGCAGACGAAAAAGGAGCAATATTTTTAATCAAAGCTCTTTCTTCACACACACTTCATTTCCTAAGCTCTCTCAGTCTCACTAGAGTAAGAAAACCAGTTTGTTTATAGAACTAGAAAAGGCACTGAGAGAATTAGTGAGGAGATGAAGAGGAGGAGGGTTTTTATTGTGTGGCTTCTTGTTGGGTTGGTGTGGAAGAGTGGAACTATAAGAAGGCAACAAAAAGGCTGAGTGGCAGCTGCTTGCTAAACTACACTCTCTCTCTCTCTCTCTGTGTGCAAAGGATTTGGCTTACGGCACCGTCGGTGGGCAATATGAGTGGGCCCCCACAATGTCTGCACGAGGCCCAACACTGGCCCCACCCCTTACCAGAGCTTGACTAAAACCCCTCCTCCTCTAACCAACGGCCACGATGCCATCAAGGGAGTTTGGGCTACACAACCTGGGCCGTTGATGTTGGTAGTGCACACGTCAGAGATCACGGCGTGGTCGTCACACTTGAACGAGCGTCAGTTTATTATGTGGACATGACAGAAGCTGAGAGAGAGACTGAGAGAGGGTTTGAGTTGAGACTGAGAATATTTGGGTCCTCGATAAAGAAGCATACCGAAAGAGCACTCCACTTGCGGGCCCTAATGTGTGGGGGCCCTTCTCCCTCCTCCTACAAGCAAAGGATATATTCTCCCCTCAACCCTCTAGTCACGTGGCACCCGTTAGTATATAGGCAATGTGTATGTCCCACTGTTTTTATAGACTTACAGTCGAGTTCATAATTCAACTTCATATAGAGAGAAGGCTGATTTCAAAACCCGCTTGATTTGATATAAAATATTGTTCTCAAACTATATATTGATTGAAATGTTTGATGAGCTAAATTATCGTCTGAATGCATGATTTATAAATTAACAATTAATGAGAGCTACACTCTTTATCACGTTTATATTCAT